GCACATGCTCAGTTTGGTGTGTATTGCTAGAGAGTATTTTTTTTCTTGGGAGAGTGCATGTGATCAGCACAAGTTCAGTCAGTGCTGTCTAGACAGGGTCAGGTGTTATGCAGCCTCTTAGGACAATCAGGGTAGAATGAAAACTCCTTCAAGCTTTAAGAAAGGGTTTGATAGACACTGACAGAAGTCACAAGACTGCCTAACTGCTGATGAGAAAAGGTAAATTCTCAGCAGTTTATATTTACTAAAATAATTAAATTTCCATGTTGTGTGTACTGTGGGAGATCAGATATAGTGAATGCAGGGTCCTGGGTTTAGTAACACTTTAATGGTTAAAAGCTATATCATAAAAGAATAATAATCAGCAAGCGTCAGTTTTCCTGAAGCCTCTAAAGTACTCTTCAGCTTCAGTCTGTTATCAGTGAATACAGATCTTAAAAGTAGGCTGTGGCTTTAATAAAAATTGTTTGAAACAGGATACATGTTTAAAGCCACAGCCAGCACTACAATTAATATTTGTGTCCATTATTCCCAGACTGGGGCTGAATGGGGCTCCTGACCAAGTAACATACATGTGAATTGATTCTTTGATATAATTTATTTTTTATTTTTTGCCATCACTTACAGACCAAGTCCCATCAAAAGTTTTTATTTAGTTTTGGACTGGAAAGTGAAAATCTAAAAAAGACTTTTGACAGGAGCTGTACTGCCTGCTGCCAGCTTCTAATTCTCTAACACTGGGATTTTTTAATTTATATTTATTATTTATTTTAATTCTGTGTAATACCCACTTTACTAATTACAAAATGCCACGTGTTATGAAATTTTCACCTCATTCAATGTTAATATATCACTATGTTAACTTTCATGTTAATACAGTGGGATTATAATCAACCCTTTTAAAATAATCACATTTTGTTGCTTTGCAGCCTGAAATTAAGACAGACATAGTTTTTTGTTTTATCCAGCTGTATTTACTCAGTGCAACTTATAATATCCAAGTGAAATAAATAACACCAACATGTCAGAAAAAAATCAAAAACAGAATCACTGAGTTGGAAAAAGGATCACCATCCTTCTAAAATGACTCAATCAGGTATAGCTAATCACCTTCGCAATGGTACATAACTTTCAACTGTGATCAGCTATGATAATTTTGATTAGCTCAGCATGAAATGAGCTTTCCTGCAGCATTTCAGTCCCTGATAGTGCAACTGAAGCAAACAATCAACTATGGGTGTCAAAGATCTCTGGGATAAAGTTGTGGACAGGCACAAGGCAGGAGATGGATACAAAAAAAATGTCAAAGGCTTTATCAATGCCTAGAAGCACAGTGAAGTCTATTATTAAGAAGTGGACGGTATTTGGTACAACACAGACCCTCCCTGGATCAGGACATCGCTCCAAACTGGATGAAAGAGCCAGGAGGAAACAGGTCTGAGAGGCTACCAAGAGGCCTACAGCAACTCTGAAGCAGTTGCAGGAACTTATGACAAGGAGTGGTCATTGCGTGCATGTGACGACAATATCACAAATTCTCACACAAATGTGGCTTGTATAGGAGGGTTGTAAGAAAAAAAACACTCCTCAAAAAAGGCCACAAGCAGTCATGACTGAGCGTTCCCAAAACGCACCGTGCCATTTCTGAGGCTACATGGAAAAAGGTGTTATGGTCAGATGAGACTAAAATTTAATTATTTGGCCTCAATAATAAGTTTGGCGGAAATCCAAAACAGCTCACAATCCAAATATTACCATTCCTACAGTATAGCATGGAGGTGGTAATATCCTGTTATGGGGGGGTTTCTCTGCAGCTGGGACTGGACCACTTATCAGGATAGAAGGAAAAAATGGATGGGGCAAAATACCATCAAATTCTTGAGGAAAATCTGCTGTCAGAAAGTTGTCAATGGGAAGAAGGTTTACCTTCCAACATGACAATGACCCAAAGCACACAGCAAAAATGACCACACAGTGGTTGAAGGAGAAAAAGGTGAATGTCCTTGCATGGCCTAGTCGGAACCCAGACTTAACCCCATTGAAAATCTGTGGAATGACTTAAAGACTGCAGTCCACCAAGTCACCATCAAATTTACCTGAACTTAAGCAGTTCTGCAAAGAAGAGTGGGCAAATATTGCAAAGTCTAAATATGCAAAGTAGAGTTAGTAAAGACATATCCCAATAGACTACAGACTATAATTAAAGCAAAAGGTGGTTCAACAAAATACTGACACAAAGAGGGGCGATCTCTTTCCAACTCAGCAATTCTTTTTTTTTCTGACATGCTGGTCTTATATCTTTCACTTGGATGTTATAAGTTGCAATGAGCAAATACAGCTGGATAAAACAAAAACGGTGCCTGTCTTCATTTCAGGCTGCAAAGCAACAAAATTATTATTTTATTAGTTAATTAGTGATTATTTTAATGGGGGGGGGGTGATTCTTTTCTATACCCACTGTATGTGGTGAACAGTATGGACATGGGATACAATGGATTTTCTCATAGTAGATAACATAAGTCAGTTTGAGGGTTGAGCAATAGTCTCATGGAAAAAATTCCTGTGACTGTTTCAAAAATGTTCATGCTTCTAAAGAACTATCTCTTTTTTTTAAGTGGTCAAGCATGTGGAACCAGCTGGAAACACAGAGCTGCCCTGTTTGGGCTCTAGGTTTTAAATGGTCTATGGCTGGTTTGAAAGACTATGCTGTTCTTTCTGCCAATGCCTCCAGACATAAAAGTGTGCCCTACTATTCTCACTAGTCAGCTTAAAAATACGGAGCTGGTAGATGATACAATACTGGATACAGATGATCAAAAGAGACTGAAAAAGTCTGACAGTGCTGCTTCCTTAAAAAGAACTCTAAAAAGTATAGATCAATACTGATATTTATTTCAGATCCTCCAATCTGCAGTTTGAAGAGAATCTGTTTTGAAAAAAAAATTGCTTGGGTTCTGGTCTATACCTGCATTAGCTTCCTTAATCCTGCTTTTATGCCCCAATGCCAGTCACAGCTTTGGCACTTTGTCTCTTCTCTACTTGTATTATCTTGGCTGTTTGCATTAACATTTTAAAAATTAAAATTTTACAACATAATTTACTAAATAGGCCATCCTATGACTAAGCCACGGTGGGCGGAGCAAAATGAATCAGGGTGTGTGGTTTGGTGGAGGCATGTAGGCTGAGGATGATCTTAATACTTTATTCACCCAGGCTGGTCGGGGGTAGTGGCAATCCTTTCCTCTTTACAGGCCACAAAGGTATCATAGTATACTGCTGTCCTCTCCAAGAATATTGTGAGTGATTAGCCCAAATAGGTAACTTTAGTAGTAATGATGTATTAAAGGGGTGGGAGTGACCCTCGGGTGATAAGAGATCACTTCCAATGGGTTATACAGTGCCACGTCCTAATTGCAAAATGATTGTAAAGGATGATTTGAAGATGGACTTTCTAGGCACAGAAACTCGGTACACAAAAAAATAAAATTAATATTCCTTTATTAAACAACACATCTTGTTAAAAATTCTATCCTATATAATGACATTGACACCATATGCCTACAGCAGATATCCCGTAACCCACCAACCACATAAGAGGATGACATTGGATGTTGATAAGAGTAATCCTTCGGAGGGGTAGGGGATATTCAGACGTTGTTGGCAATGCCCAACATGTTTCGTGACAAACGTCGCTTCCTCCCCCCCCCCCTTTCCTGACCTGCCAAGCTGCATGCTTGGATAAGGGTCTGGTATGGATTTTGGGGGGTCCACCACGCCTTTTTTTTTTTTACATTTTGGCGTGGGAGTTCCCCTCAAAATCCATACCAGACCCCAAGGGCTTGGTATGGATGGGAGGGGGAACCCCATGCCGTTTTTTTATTTATTATGGTGCCGGGTTTTAAATGTAATTACCTCTTTTTTTTTTTCTTCACTATAGCTCAGAGATTCAGCTGCCACTTTCCCCCCAGCTAAAAGAGAAAGTTTCCTTTTAGTTTATTTCCCCGAGTTAAAAGAAACAATGTTTCCTTTTAGTTTCTTGAAAGAAACAAAGTTTCCTTTAACTCGGGCGAAAGTGACAGCTAATTCTGTGAGCCGTAGTGAAGAACAAAAAAAGCCAGCAATTGCATTTAAAAATCAGCACCAACATACACTTCGTATTGCGAAATTTTTTTTTTAAAACATTTGTAAACCGAGGCATTATTTTTAACTGATTTTCACTCGTAAACCGAAAATTACATTAACTGAGGCATTTGTAAACCAAGGTACACCTGTATGTGAATTAGAAGATGTATCTTTATCAGTTTACGTAAAGTTCTACCTAAAAATATGAGAGCCATTGCATTCAGATAACAGATTTTTTTTGTCGAATTTTTATAACCCCGGTCACATAGGCTCCTTTCACACAAAGGGTCCAATCAGGCCCGCCTGTCAGTTTTTCAGGCTACCCTGATCAGACCCTTGAATCACCCCTATGGACCGGTGGGTATAAACAGACGTGTCTGTTTACACCCGCCTACCTTCAATCCGCTAAAAACATGGAAGGGGATCTGTCCATCTCCGTTCAGGCGGATTGGATCGGAGGGCAGTCGGGTGTAAACGGACAGTGGAGTCCATTTACTCCCAGCTGCCCGCAGACAAGAGCGGGCTCTGTCTATGTATGTCTGCTCTGCATAAACTGACAGCGGACAGATCCTCTGTTGATCTAAACAGAGCCATCCCCCCCCCCCTTCCCGTGTGAAAGGGGCCTTAGAGTGGCTGTGTTTCTTTTCAGATTATACGCTCCATCAGCAGTAAACATACATTCACTATTTTTAAAGGCCCCGTATTGCTGTTGTTACATGTTCTTTCTACTGGCATTTGATGCAGCTACTTGAGCTTTTATGCTGTGTACTGTATATACTGTATGTCTACTGTGGCTATAAAAGAGACAGAGACAGAGGTAATGGAGCACCACAGGTTTTTGTGCTGTCAGGTGTCACTAAGAACAGCTGTCTTCCTACCTCTTCGGTGCCTTTCCCCTTTTTCCCTTTAGCTTTAGTTTTTCCCTTTTTTTCCTTTTTCTTCTCTTTTTCTTTCTTCCCTTTTTCCTTTTTCTTTTTTTCCTTGGCCTCCTCCTTAGCTGCAAGCTCAGCAGCAACCTGAAACAAGAAAAATACAAGGGAGAAATAAATGATGCTGTGTGGGTCGTGACATTTTTCATAACTCAAACACATTTAGATGATTAGTTGGATTGTGCAAACTATTAGATCATACTAATGTTATATTTCTGGAACCTGTATGCTCCGAATACTATCACAACTTTTTCCATAATGCTCTGGTTTCTTCCACTAACACAAAAAAACACTGCTCAAAAAAATTAAAGGAACATTTTTTAATCAGAGTCTGGCATCAAGTCAACTAAACTCCTGGAATATTGATATATTGATCTGGTTAGTTATGTAGCAGAGGGGGTTGTTAATGAGTTTCAGCTGCTTTGGTGTTAATGAAGTAAACAACAATGCACTAGATGGGCAACAATGAGGCGACCCCCAAAACAGGAATAGTTTTACAGGTGGAGGCCACTGACATTTTTTTCCCTACTCATCGTTTCTGTTTTTCACTAGTTTTACATTTGGCTAGGGTCAGTGTCACTATTGGTAGCATGAGGGGATACCTGGACCCTACAGAGGTTGCACAGGCAGTCCAACTCCTCCAGGTTGACACATAAATACGTGCCATTGCCAGAAGGTTTGCTGTGTCTCCCAGCACAGTCTCAAGAGCATGGAGGAGATTCCATGAGACAGGTAGTTACTCTAGGAGAGCTGGACAGGGCCGTAAAAGGTCCATAACACATCAGCAGGACCGGTATCTGTTCCATTGTGCAAGGAGGAACAGGATGAGCAGTGCCAGAGCATTACAAAATGACCTCCAGCAGGCCACTGGTGTGAATGTCTCTGACCAAAAAAATCAGAAACAGACTTCATGAGGGTGGCTTGGGGGCCCGACGTCCTCTAGTGGGCCCTGTGCTCACTGTCCGGCACCATAGAGCTCGACTGGCATTTGCCATTGAACACCTAAATTGGCAGGTCGCCACTTGTGCCCTGTGCTTTTCACAGATGAGAGCAGGTTCACCCTGAGCACATGTGACAGACGTGAAAGGGTCTGGAGAAGCCATGGAGAACGTTATGCTGCCTGTAACATTGTTCAGCATGACCGTTTTGTTGGTGGGTCAGTGATGGTCTGGGGAGGCATATCTTTGAAGGGACACACAGACCTCTACAGGCTAGACAATGGCACCCTGCCTGCCATTAGGTATTGGGATTAAATCCTTAGACCCATTGTCAGACCCTACACTGGTGCAGTGGGTAATGGGTTCCTCCTGGAGCACGACAATGCCCAGCCTCATGTGGCCAGAGTATGCAGGCAGTTCCTGGAAGATGAAGGAATTGATACCATTGAATGGCCCCCACGCATGCCTGACCTAAATTCAATAGAACATCTCTGGGATATTATGTTTAGGTCCATCTGACGCCACCAGGCTGCACCTCAGACTGTCCAGGAGCTCAGTGATGCCCTCGTCCAGATCTGGGAGGAAATACCCCAGGACACCATCCGTCATCTCATTAGGAGCACACCCCGACATTGTCAGGCATGCATACAAGCACGTGGGGGCCATACAAACTACTGAGTACCATTTTGAGTTGCTGCAATGAAATTTAAGCAAAATGAACTAGCTTGCTGCATAATTTTTTCACTTTGATTTTCGGGGTGTTTTCAGAATTCAGTAGGTTGATAATTTTCATTTCTATCAAACGCTGGGGCATCCTTATGTTCCTAACACATTAACTAGTCCATATTAGTATACATATCAAGCATGATATTTTTCCACATTGATATATTTTCAAAGTGTTCTTCTAATTTTTTTGAGCAGTGTATATTGATGTTAATAAACCTTGGTAAACTGCGTTTTTATTTTATCGTACTTGTAGTGAACGTTCTGTTATAGAGGGCACAAGGAACAATCCTTAGTCCAAGAACACTTAGTGACCACAGTGTTGTAGAGCAGACATCATGTAGAAATTTTCTTTGTCTTTAAATTCTGCTTTATATGCTGAGGGATCCACAGTGGAAAGTCAAGGGTTCTGAATGACTGTGCTCCCTCTGAATTCAGAAACAGGCTGTCACATTAATCTGTATGGAGATAGATTCAGTTGAAACATTTTACCTATGGTGGACTATCTTGTGTGCAAGCATTCATTTTTGTAGATTGATTGCCTGTAAAGCAAACCTGTCCATCCATTCAGACCCAAGGTTTTCTTTAATTCCCTACCCCTCCCCAGTATATAGTTACCTTTCCTTTGCTCCCCTGCTTTGTTCATCTCTGGAAGCCAGAGAAAATGCCTGGTACTTCTGGGTATAAAGGGTATAAAGACTCCTTCTTGATTAGTGCACAGGGAGCCAATAGACCCGAACAAGCTTTGACTCTTAGGATCCATTTATAGTATTTTGCTGTGTCAATAATGCATGCTGGATTAAGGCAGCCCATTCATTTAAATGGGCTGCCTAACACACTAAAACAGGTAGCATTTCTGGAACCACACAAAAATCCACGTTTGTCAGTCCAAGGTGCATTGGGCCATTCAGAATGAACAGCACCACATCTCGCCAAGGCACGTAACATGCATTACCGTACACTGCAGTAACACAAGTGAATGCAAATCAACAGGGTGAATGGGTCCTTTTAGCCCTTATAGGGCATAGGAATTTAATGTGAACCTGTTACTTTGCCGTATGAGAGGAGACATAGACTGCAGTACAAACCTGAATTTCTAAATGTGGCCATACACTATGTGAAATTCACTACATGAGTAGCCCTGTAGCCACCATCCCAGCCAACATCCTTTAGTTGAAAATTGAAGGAGCCAAATGAAAGAACTATTGGCCAAACAACAGCTGCTATTTGGGTATTCTGACAGCTGCTGATGCCAGTTGTCAGAGTACAATATCAGTAGCAGCAGGAGATTCGCTCAGCTGTGCTGTATAGCATGGATGGAGGAAATCCATTCAATTTTTTTTGTTCAGTCTGCAGGCTGAAAAAAAAAAATCTTACTGTGTAGCCTGATTAACCCTTCTTCAAGTTACTAAATGAAGATATTTTACTACCATTGGAAACTCTTTAGAGGAAATTTCCCTCTACTTATTTTTCTGATGAGAGTAAGTAAAGAGAAATCTTCTTAAGCGGAACTTCACTTACAATAGGAAGTTTTGCTGATCCCCCTCCTCTGCCTGAATAGGAACCCTATTTTTTTAACCCGGGTATCTACTCCTGACAGGTACCCAGGGCTGGGACAAGGGGTGGGCAGGAAATTCGGCTGCAGTGGGCACAATGGTTTACTGTAAGGATAGGGTTCCTTCTATTGCAAGGCTGACATGAGTAGTGATAGTTGCAGTGATTTTGAAAAGACAATGACTGCTGGGCATAGGATTTAAGCTTGCATATCATGAACATTGGGGAGCACAGTTTGGCATCTTTGCCTTGAGCGCTAGAGCAGAAGTTTTGCCTACCTTCCTGTAACCTCCTGAGACACAACAGGTGACATCCTCACCTGTCCCAGAAGACTGCAGAACAGGGGCGGACTGACCATTTGGAAACTCGGGCACTGCCCGAGGGCCCGGGGTCAGTAGGGGGCCCCATGAGATGCCCCTAGTACCTTTTTCATAGGCTTTTTTGAGTTTGGGCAAGCAACAGGGGCCCCATGATCCCCTATTGCCTGGGGGCCCCATGAGTTGTCAGTCCGCCCCTGCTGCAGAACCATTCAGAAAACACAGCACATCTCACACATGTGCAGTAGGGGGTCCACCTGTGAAGCATCAGGAAGACGCAACTGGCTTCCCACAGTGAAGATGGCGGCACTGAGGACCAGAAGACCAGCAAGGAACCAGCCTGGGTGAAGGCAGCACTGAATCCCTAAGCCGGTAAGTGTCTGTATATTAAAATTCAGCATCTAATGTATTTGTAGCTGCTGACTTTTAATTTTCTTTTAAATTGAAGTTTCTCTTTAACAGAGGCACAAAGCAAGGGCTCTCAGGGCTTGAGCAGTGGATGTTATTAGAATTACGATGAGATGAAATAGGAGACCTACATTATGTTAGGGCTTGATAAAGACCATTAGATCTTAAAGGCACTATGAGCTACCAGGAGGTCATTGTGCCATTAGGATCTGACAGTCTTTAGCAGTTTTAGAGTGAAGTCAGATGTCCTTATTTTCACTAAGGTCTGCTTACCTATTTTACCCTCTCCACTAAAAAATTGTCAATAAATGAAAAAAAACTTTTAGGAGTTATGAAATAAAATTTCCCCCAGCTATTGTTCACAGCCCCTAGGCAAAGGGGACATCATGCTCCTTTCGGCAAAATCCCAGGGAATGCCAAGTAGAAATAAAACTAGGGAGAGGATGATCCTGCGCTGTGCTGTAGCATCATCTCCTGAGTTTTTGGCTGCTCAGAATTTCCTGTCGGACTGAGCCTGAAGTCACTCCCGCAGTAGGAAAGCCAGGGAGAGGGAGGGAGAAATACTAACATTTTTACTTTAAGGTTTTTTTTTGGCTGGGAAGGGGGGCTAATTTATTAAACAAACCTTGCTCATAGTGCAGTCTACAGTTAGAACCCTTGTCATGCTTTTTTTTTTTTACCATCTATGCCTTCCTGCCCCAGTGATCCCCGTTTCTCTTACTTCTTGTCCTGGTGTCACAAGTATAAAGTAGATGCAAAATCTCCCTAACAGAGATACTGGGTTGCAGTAAAAACCGAAGGTTCTAACCCTTCCCTACATTATTCACAAAAAGGTTTTTAAAGAGCTTGACTTTGAGGGTATTAAACCCAAATGCAAACATATATTATATTGCAGCTCACCAATTTTTAGATTCTTAGGCTTTTTTTCCCTTGTTTTCACCTGCTGATCTGGCCAGTATGTCTGTTGTTTTTCAAAAGAACAAGATCTTTTGTAGATGTAGCAGTTACAGTGATGAGACAGACCAGTTAACACTAGCAGGGGTGCTTATAATGATCAGCTTTGTTTTATTTACATAAAACCTTTATCTCAAAAGAAAAAAAAAAAACCTGTTTGCTGTAACTGCTTATAAGTCCTCATGCACACTGG